CTTCTCCTCCACCCTTAACCTGCAAAACAGCTTTCCGGGGAGATCCTACTTTGAGCTCAGATCCTCGTCCCACCAAATGAGCTTGCACTCTTCTTTACAATCTTCTGAATTCGGCCGGTGGGTGAGCCGAGTGTGCGCTGTGCTTCTGGACGTCCCCCCGTTTTTGTTTTGGGGGTTCGGCTCTTGTTTTGTTGCTGTTTGCTTTTTTTTTTGCTTTTCTTTTAATTTTTTTGGGGGGGCCCTCCTCCCCTTCTCCCCCCGCCCATGGCATCCGTGTGAGGACGGGACTTGCTGTTCTATGTTGTCAGTGGCCCGTGTTCCACTGTGCAGGAAACTCTGAGGATGTAGACATGATGTGTGACATGTTTGTTTCTGTGTTACAAGTTTGTAGACTTTGTTTGAACAGCACCAGCAAGCAAGGATATCGTTGCTGACATCCTGTCTCCTTTATGTGGACTTGCAGTCAACAGCATTGTCTTTGAGAAGGGGGAAAAGTCACAAACGTGCAAAGTTCAAATAGCATTTAGAAGGATTTTTTTAAAAAAACACTATTTACTTACAGTATTCTATTTATTAAATTTCTATCCTGCTGTTCCTCCCAAAGGAGCCCAGGGCAGGCAGCAATTACTGGATTTCACCACCAGATTGGGGATTTTTAAAATGCAACTTGAGGGTATAACACAACCTTTGCCAACCTGGTGCTCTGCAAATATTTTGGACTACAACTCCCATGAACACCCAGCCAGCACCCTCAGGAGCATATGGCCATGCTGCCTCAGGCTGATGGGAGTTGTAGTCCAACAAGACTGTTGAGCACCCGCATTGGTGCTGTAACAGAAGAAGCAGGTTAGATCACAGATGTGCCAATGATCAGGGATGATGGGAATTGTAGTCCATCAATATCTGGAATACACACCACACCGACTAACTGTGGCACCGCATGTCAGCAAGAGGACTGGGCCAGGAAACGTCTCCCTAACAGGCTAAAACCTCCCCAGTGCAGAGGTTTTGGTGCAGGACAGGACAGCCAATGTGGTTTCTCCAGATGTTGGGCTGTGCCCATCTCCTCCAGCCGGCTTGGCCAGTGGCCAGAGGAGCTGTTGTCCAACAACATCTGGAAGGCAAAATGTTGGCTGCCACCACGTAGGAAAACATCCAAGCTGCGTTGAGGTTCCTGAAGGCGTATAATTCCTGGGTGGGAGATGGGTGCCCACTGTCTATAACATTGAATCTGTGGCCAGGCCCCACACATTTATTTGTTATTTATTTCCTAAAATGTATACACCGCTGGATTGTAAAAAGGCAATACACACACACACATACACACTTTAAAGCGGTTTACAAAAAGAAAACAAACATTAAGATGGTCACAAAGTGAAATATACTCAGAGTCGAGAGTGGATTTCATGCTCTTTATTCAGCTCATAGTAGCGAGGAATGGAAGTTCCTCCAAAATGTCTGCTTTATATACATTATTTACACAATGGGCCCCACGTGATTGGCTAATTCCGGGATTCTCCTGTAGGCCAATCAGGTCGCAGATTTACTTCCACCTGGAGCTGGATTGGGTGTGGACCAATCAGACTGCTGCATTCTGAATCCTATTGTTCTAGGACCAATCAGGCTGCTGCATTCTGAATCCTATTGTTCTAGGACCAGTCAGACTGCTGCATTCTGGATCCTATTCGACTCAGTACATAACACAAAGAAAAATGATTTAATACATTTGAAAGGTTTAAAATAACGATAAGCTAAAAGCAGCTTAAGGCTTGCACCAGCTATCTAAACATCTGGGCAGGCTGTCTGAACAGAAACGCTTTCAGCAAGCCCCAGAAAGAGTACAGCGGAGGTGGCTGATGTCAATAGGCAGGGAGTTCCGAAGTGTAGGCCACAGGAAAAGATCAAGTTCTTGCAAGCGCAGAACGGGTCTTACACGGCATCTGCAGCAGTGCCAGTTTCCGCAGATCGAAGCAGCCGAGTAAGGGGCAAGGTGATTTCCACTGTGATGCCTTCAGCAAGAGAGCAACCAAGGAGAAGGTTCTAGAAAGCTGTCCTGAGCCTTGGGGTGTAATAGCAGCTCTTCACATGCATTTTCCTGTGGGATATTCTGGAATTATGGCGCCAAGGCCTCAGGTGCCCCCTCTCTCCGCAGCCCACCCTTCCCCTCCCACCTTTGGCAAGAACCAACCTTTTCCGTTTGGGTTGCATTATTTTTTTTAAGGATTCTCCCGTCGCTACCAGCTTACGCTGATGTAACCTCCATTGGCACCTGCCTGACACCGGCGTAAGCGAAAGGAGAATAGCCCTGACATAGATTTCTTTCTTTCCGTCCACCCCATATTTTGGAATGAGGAATGGCACAGTCTTTTAGTTGCTGGGCTACACTGAGGGGCTGGACGCACAACCCCGGTTTTATTATATTTTCCCCATCGTCCTTTTATGGGTTACCCCATCCCACTGCTTTTGTGCGACTGGCTTTCGACATAATCCATCCCCGAACGTTTCTGATCTTGTGTCCTGTGCACGAAGAGTTGGTGGGTTCTGCCTGCTTCCTTGTACGTTCTTGGAGTCTGTATCTTTGGAGTGAATTGGTCTCAAGCTGGGCGGGGGGCAGATTTGTGGGGTGGAGGTAGGGGGGGGATAAACTGGATTTGGTTCGCTTTCAAAAAGCAAACCTGCATAATTTCTGCTTTCTGAAACAATAAGCAAACCAAAACGTTGGCATCGTTTGAGATTTGCCGTTCTCCGAACTTTGCAGCGCAGTTCCCCAGCCAAGTAGTTTGTACAAAAACGAATCTCTCCAGGGGAAATTGATATATTTAAGGGGAAATTGATATATATATTGATATATTTGTGGAGATAACAGATAAAAACGCATTCCGTCGGGAGGAATTGCTTTGCAAAAATGCACACATCAAATAACGTTGCGTACAAAACAAGTGTGTGATATGCTGGCGAATTTTCGTGAGAGCGTCTTTTTTAAAAAATTCACGAACTGGTGTGGAAATGTGGAGAACCTAAGAGTGGGAAATTCACAGAAATTCACACAGTGTGTGAAATTCACAGATTCACCTATCCTTAGATGGTTGGTGGAGCTCTTCCCTAAAACGGACACCTTTTGCTTCTCTTAGGAGACGTTGCACAATGGGAAATTGCCAAAAAAATGTGAAGGTCGCAATCCCCTAAGTTGGTTTGAGTCCAGATTCATTTAAAAGGCTTTGCTAAATTCCACATGGTCAAGGTTATGTGCATTTCTTCCATTGATGCTCAAATTCCACCCCCACCAATTCATTTTCCGATTTAGGCAAACTCAATTAGGCATCCTTATTTTTATTTTTTCATCCATTAATACTGGCACACACACGAAAAAGAACAGTAATGACAAGGAGAAATGAGGGTGTTTCTTTTACTGTTTTTACAAGGTTTTAAAACTGTTTTTAGAAGTTTTAATTGACTTCCGCTATTGACTTGTTTGCTGCCCTGACCTCCTCCTTCGGGAGGAAAGGCAGAATATAAGTAATTTATTATTTTTATCATCACCATCATAGAATTGTAGAGTTTGAGGGGACCCCGAGGGTCATCTAGTCCAACCCCTCCAATGCAGGAATCACAGCTAAAAGAATTCCTGGCAAGTGGCCACCCAGATAGGATAGGAAGAAAAAGTAGGACAGATAGGAAGGAGGGGGGGGGCGGACATTGAAACTAGAATGCTCAATATATCAAATTGTATTTAATATTGTATTTAATGTTTTGAGACTACAATTCCCATGATCCCTGACCACTGGTCCTGCTAGCTAGGGATCATGGGAGTTGTAGGCCAAAAACATCTGGAGGGCTGAGGTTGAGGAAGCCTGCTCTAGTCGCATAGCTAATGCTTGATGATATTATTAATTATTATTATTATTATTATTATTATTATTATTATTTGTATACCATCTTTCTATCTTACAATACAGTGGTGCCTCGCAAGACGAAATTAATCCATTCCGCGAGTCTCTTCGTCTTGCGGTTTTTTCGTCTTGCGAAGCACGGCTATTAGCGGCTTAGCGGCTATTAGCGGCTTAGCGGCTATTAGCGGCTTAGCGGCTATTAACGGCTTAACGGCTTAGCGGCTATTAAAGGCTTAGCGGCTTTAAGAAAAAGGAAACAAACTCGCAAGAACTCGCAAGACGTTTTGTCTTGCGAAGCAAGCCCATAGGGAAATTCGTCTTGCGGAACGACTAAAAAAACAGAAAACCCTTTCGTCTAGCGAGTTTTTCGTCTTGCAAGGCATTCGTCTTGCGGGGCACCACTGTACTCAAGGCGGTTTACAAGCTGAAGAAACTTTAAAATAAGCAACCTACATCAAAAAGTAACATTCAACAATTATTAGAACAGTACAAAATAATAATATCAACATATAAAAGTTAAACAGAAATCCACTCAACAGTTACAATAAATAATTTCTAAACTATAATCAATAAGACAACGGCAAGCCACAGTACATAAAATAATACAATACAATTGAGAAGCAGAAACTAAAGGGTGGAGCAAGGCAGGGGGAAAGAGGCCTTGCCTGATGGATAGACCTCTCCACTGGGTTGTCTAAAAGCCAGTGGCAGGGAGTTCCACTGGCTATGTGCTGTGCATGGCCGAAGTGCCAGTTGTTGTTTGCCTTGAATCCGCTGCTGTCAACCCACTTCAGGGGTGCCAGGCCTGGGTTCTAGAATGGGCCTCTCCGGGAGCTTTGACTCCAACTCCCATCAGCCCCTGCCAGTATGATTGGGGCTGGTGGGAGTTGGGAGTCCAATTGACCTGGAGAGACGCAGGTTGGGGAAACTCCATGAAATGCACATGTCTCTGGTTCCGGTGGTGGGCCTCTCGCTTTGCAAGTGAATCTGGCAAATCCGTTCCGGCGGCTGCCGCCCCAGCTGCGTGCCCCAGCTGCGTGGCTCCTGCCGCCCGAGTCTGGTTGCCCTTTTTCCGTGTCGACGTATGAAATGCAGTGTGTCTCTTTATAGGTTTTGAGGCTCAGTCAGGACCTTTCTCCCAATTGGGCAAGTATATACTTCCTTCCACATTTCGGTGGCATTTGTTTCGGTCACTTGTTTTTAACCCTCGACTCCCCCCATTTGTACGTGACAAGGAGAGACCCCCAGCTATACACCCAATGTTTAAACTAACACTATGTTTGGTCCAGTCTGTCCCCCCCCACCTTGTTTGTAACACCTTTGAGGGGTGGGGGAAGAGGGGAGGCAGCCCAGGAAGTGATGCTGAAATGAGAAACAGCTGTTTTTAGCTAGAGGGCAAAGCCACCAACTCATAATAATATACCGTATTTTTCGCTCTATAGGACGCACAGGACCACAAGACACACCTAGTTTTTAGAGAGGGAAATCAAGAAAAAAAATACTATTCCCCCCCCCCAGCCCCAAAGAGCAAAGAAGCCAAGACAGCCATCGGGATCCCCCGGCTGGAGAGACTGTGCAAGGCTAAAGAGGAAGCCAAGGCAGTGAGCGGGATGGATCGCGCTCGCTGCCTCGGCTTCTTTAGCCTTGCGCAGCCTCTCCCAGCTGGAGAGGCTACGTGTGGCTATGGCAATTCCCCCACCTCCCGCAAAAGCCCACAGGAGCCGTGCACCCTTTAAGGAGCGTGCGGCTCCTGCGGGCTTTTCTACTAGGAGGGAGGAGGGACTGACTGGCCGCGTCAGTCCCTTCTCCCTCCTGGGGAAAAGCCCGCAAGAGCCGCAGGAAGCTTGTGTGCGGCTCTTGGGGGCTTTACCTGCCTGCCTCCCCCCTGCATTCGCTCCATAGGCTGCACAGACTTTTCCCCTTAGTTTTTAAGAGGGAAAAAGTGTGTCCTATGGAGCGAAAAATACGGTAAATGAATTCGCAGAGCCTGCTAGAATGCCTCTAGGGGGTGCCTTTAGAGGAAGGCTGTCTTAGAGCATGTGACTACCCCAGTCTGCCCCCTGCCTGGGCATAGCATAGTTAAGCAGAAATTTGAACCCAGATCTCCCTGGTCTGAGCAAACTCATTCTCAGCATCAAATCACACCTGGCTCAAGGTGTCCGTCGGAGCCTCTGAAACTCATAAGGGATGGATCAAGTTATGGCACTATGGAAGCAGTCCAATAAACCTAGCTTGGAGTCAACCCTTTGAAGGAGTGAAATTTAGACCTGGTTTTTCTTTAATTGGGTGAGGGATTCTACTTGGTTTCTTAGCCGAGTTGTGGGGAGGCAGGAGGAGCTAAAGGAAAGCAGCCTCTTGCAGAATTTGGTAGCCTTTCCTTGAGCCCTTCCCTGTCTGCAAAAGCTGTGTGGTCTCCGGTACACGTTATGTATAACTGTGCGAGGTTTCTGCTAATGCCAAATTGATGTGCCAGCTTTGGCTGGGAGGGGCAAACTATAGTATGCAGCCAGGAAACCAAGCTACAATGAAGCTTGCAGTTGGCGCTTTGGTTCTCTATCAATGCCGACGCAGCTTCTCATTTGTTCCCTTGCATGCCTTTCGCTCGGAACGACAACAGTTGATATTAAAAAACTGGTAGCAGGTAGGAGCCAGTTTGGATGCATGGGGCCAATGGAACCTACTGACTGGCTGCAACAGTTTGTGTGTGTTTGTGAGTGTGTTTTGAAAACTTTGCGGCACGTGTGTTGTCCTCAAGGCGACGTCTTGCCCGTAGGAGTTCCGTTAACCAAGTCCAAGCCGTGCAGTTGGCACATGCCCAGATTGCTACCCCAAAGCTCTGTGGGTTCCCAGTTGGTGCAGCAAAACTCAGCAACCCAATGGCATCCTCTGCTGTCCTCTGCATTCGGACAATGTGCAATTGCAGTGAAATGCCTATACAAACAAAGCAGGCAAAGGCAAAGGCAATCAGGGAGCCAAGTCTGTAGGCCCAGGGCAGCCCTGCCATTAGACAGAGTGAGACACCTGCCTTCAGGCGGCAGGTTCAGGGGAGGGGCGTCAGCCCCTGGCTCTTCCCCATGAGCCCACGCTCCACCCATTTTCTGTTCTTGCCTCTATTTGTCGCACGCAGCATCGTTTCCATTCTGCTACAAGTCACCTTCCAACAAAAACTAAACCATTTATCTCCCTACCTGCTGTGGGGAGTTACTGTAGGCAGCTTGCACAATTTACATAGGGAGGGATTAATAGGGAGGAATTTTGGTGCCTCCCTTTGGATTTGTCTCTAGAACAGGGCTGGCCCTACCATGAGGCAGAGTAAGGCAAGTGCCTCGGGTGGCAAATACTGATGAGCATTGAGTGGAGAGTGTCGAAACCTGCGATCAGCCAAGCTCCTCTGGAATCACCTCCGACGTGATTAATGACCTGAGCCTTTGATAAGGCTCCAGGCACATTCCCCATTACGCAGAGAATCAAAACAGCCCGCGGAAGTGATGAGATTTATGGCTACATCGCTATGCTTTATTTCTTACTACGCAGACAGAAAACCACATCCTCTCTCTGTGAGAGGCAGAGAGCAACTGAAACAAACAAAGGAACAGGAAACCAGTAACGTCACATCCGTCTCCCGTGAGACTTCCAACAGTCTGGAATGTCTCTGGAATGTAAACAGAGTCTTGCAACTCTAAGCAGCTGCACAGTGGCAAACAGAAACTAACAGAGAGCGCCCTCGGGGTGCAGTGCAGGATGTTAAAATAAGATGCAATGGTTTGCTGAGCTTTCGTACGTGGAATGGGACTGGGTGGTAGCAACTTCTTGCCCCCTGCTTCAGGCGGCAAAATGCCTTGGGCCAGCTGTGTCCCAGAAAGCATGTGGAATCGTGGTTTTTGACCAACCTGCAACTCTCCTCCTCCTGCATGCCTGCATGGAATGCATTTTGTGCCCTCCCCCCCAGCCCAGGGACTGCCATGCCATTCACCCAGGTAACTGCTCTTCCCTTGTGTCCATTTCAGTGGCCTGGTTTTCGTTTGACCCAAATACGGCCCACTCGGACGTCATCTTCTCCAACGACAACCTGACGGTCACCTGCAACAGCTATGACGACCGGGTGGTGTTGGGCAAAACGGGCTTCTCCAAGGGTCTCCACTACTGGGAGCTGTCCATCGACCGCTATGACAACCACCCAGACCCGGCCTTTGGTGTGGCCCGCATGGATGTTCTCAAGGACGTCATGCTGGGGAAAGATGACAAGGCCTGGGCCATGTATGTGGACAACAACCGGAGCTGGTTCATGCATAACAATTCACACACCAACAGGTATGTAGCCCCAGAGCATCTCTTGTTCTCTCTGTCTCTTCCCCCCGTCCTCTGAACATTGGAAGGTTCAGGACACACAAAAGGAAGCACACAGTTAGACTATGGAACTCCCTGCCACAAGAGGTAGTGTGATGGCCACCAACTTGGATAGTTTTAGAAGAGGGTTACGATAAGTCCTGGGGATAATTCAGACTGAAATCCCCAGGTATCAATAAAGGTTATTTATGTATGCTACTGCTGCAGCCCGTGTTTTGTTAGCCCCAAAATGGAAAACGAGCGAGGTCCCAACTAAAAAAGAATGTCAACTTAAGTTGATAGAATATGCACAACTCGCAGACTTAACATATAGAATAAGAGAACAAGAAGAATATATATTTAAAGAAGATTGGGAGATGTTTATTGGATACAGTGGTACCTCGGTTTACAAACTTAATCCGTTCCGGAAGTCCGTTCTTAAACCGAAACTGTTCTTAAACCAAAGTGCGCTTTCCCTAATGAGGCCTCCCGCCACTGGTGCCCTTCCACCATTCAGATTCCATTCTTAGACGGAGGTAAAGTTCTCAAACTGGGACACTATTTCCGGTTTTGCAGAGTTTTTAAACTGAATCCTTCTTAAACCGGATGGTTCTTAAACCAAGGTACCACTGTATATGGGAAATAATTGTGTACAGCTGAAAACGCTGGCAGCATTACGATAAAATCAACAGTGCAAACAAATTTTGATGGATGCAATAATGGAATATTGAATGGTATAGTTTTTGTAAAATGTGCATGGATTTATGATCTGTAAAATGAACCGTGGAAAGAGAAGAAGAGAAGTCATTGATATCTTAAGGATGTAAAATGGGTATTTTAAATGGTAAAACAGAAAATTTAATTAAATAATCACACACACACAGTGCTTTTTCTGGGGCAACACAGGGGTACACATACCCCTAAACATTTTATGAATCTTTGTACTTTTGTCCATTTACTGTATTTATTTTTCCTGATTTGAACTATAAAATGGTGATTTTATTGAGTGAAAATGAGAGTACAGTCATACCTCTTGTTACGTTTGGTTCAGGTTACGTTTTTTTTAGGTTGCGTCCCGCGGCGACCTGGAAGTACTGGAAAGGGTTACTTCCGGGTTTCGCCACTCGTGCATGCACAGATGCTCAAAATGATGTCACACGCATGCGCAGAAGCAGTGAATCGCAACCCGCGCATGCACAGATGCGGGTTGCATTCTGCTCATGTTGCGAACGGGGCTCTGGAACGGATCCCGTTCGCAACCAGAGGTACAACTATACCCCAAAACATTTTTTTTTAAGAAAAAGCACTGTGTGTAGAGAGAGAGAGGTTAGCCATAGACTTGTACGGTTGGAAGGGACCACAAATGTCATCTAGCCCAACCCCCTGAGCTAATGAGGAGCGCTTTCTTTCTCGGCAGGACTGAAGGGGGCATCACCAAAGGGGCTACAGTCGGGATCCTGCTTGACCTCACCAGGAGGACCTTGACCTTCTCCATCAATGAGGACCAGCAGGGGCCGGTGGCCTTTGAGAACCTGGAAGGTGTCTTCTTCCCTGCTGTCAGTCTGAACAGGAATGTGCAAGTAAGGAGGAGTGGGAAGGAGTCCGGGCCTCTGGGAGGAGAGACTGGGAGGCTTCTTGGATCTCAGGATGAAGCGCTCCCAGTGGCGTAGCGTGGGGGGTGCAGGGGGGGCTGGCCGCACCGGGCGCAACATCTGGGGGGGGCGCACTCGCCGCCTCCGGAGTCGCCGAAGAGCCTCGGGCGCAGGCTGTAGCAGAGCCTCATGTCTCGCGGAACCGACGAGCTGGCAGCGGCTCTCAGCGCTCGCCATGGTCCCCGCGCGTCAGGGCCGCGGAGGGCGCGCCAGGCAGCCCCTCCTCACAGCCCCGCCGCCGCCGCCGCTGCTGCTGCTGCAGCTGCTGGGCCATGTTGCATTTTCCTCACCTCTCTGCCCTCCTCCTCCTCCGGGCAAGCGGCGTCGTTTGGGCGGCAGCACCAGCGGCAACTCGCCTCAGGTCACCTGACACGGACCCGCCGCCGCCGCCATGGCTACCTTACTGTAAATACCCCAGCCCAGGCAGCAGCAAGAAGAAGCTGGCAGCGGCGGCAGGTTAGGGGGCGCAAATTACTTGCCTTGCCCCGGGTGCTGACAACCCACGCTACGCTGCTGAGCGCTCTCTTCAGTTGCTGGAGAGGGGCAGGGCAGAGACTGGGAAGAAAAGGAATCAGAACAAGAAACCCAGAGTTGCGTTGGCTGGCGATGACGGGAGTCGCAGTCTAAAACAGGCGGAGGAATGCCAAGGACTAGAAACTTGCTTTGACGAAAAGCAAGCAAGCTGTGATTCTCAGCTTGCTGGGTTTAATATTCAGAATCAGTTTGGTACTCAAAGTTAGTGCCCTCAAGCAGGGCATTCTGGCTGGGCAGGGGTGGGCTGGGCAGCAGGTGGTAGGTTCAAACAGCCCCCCTAAAAAATGTCCTGTTCTGAATTGCCCAAACACTCCAATTTTGCTACTCATAAACGGGGCAGTGGGGCGGGGCAGTGGGGGTGAGCAGTGTTCTGCCCAAGCCCTCTGCTCTTGTGTGGAATTAGGGAACATACACAACAATGACTAAAGCAAAGGCACCAACTGGTACTCGGCCTCCTCTACCCCCTGATCATTGGGAAGGGCAGTCCCCCCCAAAAAATTATTGGGAGGGCCCAAAGAGCTGGGCCCCTAGGAGTTGATGCCTATGGTGTAAAGACGGCGGGAGATTCATTCAGTGTGTAAATATGGTCCTGCCATAATTGCCCCTCAAGTCCTAGTGACTTTCTGGGAATAATAATAATAATAATAATAATAATAATAATAATAATATATTAAATTTTTATTTATACCCCGCCCTTCCCGCTTCAAAAACCGGGCTCAGGGCGGCTAATAACAAATTTAAAACACTGGGACTCTTCAGGATCAGGCTCCAGACTTGGTTCAGATGATACCTGAGGCAAAGGATCCGGTGCGGACTGAGACTCCTCTGGTTCCAAGCCCGAGTCCCAGGCCATCACATATACACATACACACAGAGAGATATGGTACTGTGAGCATGGGAAGATCAAATCCTGCCAGCTGTGATGGGATTAAAAATGCCACCCCACTCCTCAGGGCCCGCTCAAGACATTTTTCTGCCTGAGGCAAGGGGCAAGATGGTGCCCTTCCCCAAGGCACAGGCAGAAGCCCACTGGACTGGTGGTTGAATCTTACTCCAGTACTGGGAAAGGGAAGTGTCTTCCACTCCAGCTGAATGCAACATGCCAACATAGCACTCACAATCCCCGCAGCTCAGCATCTGCCGCCTGAGGCTGCTGCCTCACTTTGCCACATCGTAGGGCCGGCCCTGCTACCTCTTGTTGAACCCTGTACCCAGAACCTCCAAGTGTCCCTATTTTCCAGGGACGTCCCTGATTTAGAGACGCCATCCCAGTTTCTGATTTGATCCTGGAATGTCCCGATTTTCATTGGAGAGTATGGAGCTATCCAACCCCTGAGCCTTCTGAAGACAATCCTGTATAGGGAAGTTTTCTTTTAATGTTTAATGTTTCATTGTGTTTTTATATGTGTTGGAAGCTGCCCAGACCCAAAGTGGCTGGGGCAACCCAGTCAGATGTGTGGGGTATAAATAGTAAAGTTATCATTGTGGAATGAGATGTTCCTACAGTGGTACCTCGGGTTACAGATGCTTCGGGTTACGCGTTTTCAGGTTGCGGACCACAGGAAACCCGGAAGTACCAGAAAGGGTTACTTCCGGGTTTTGCTGCTTGCGCATGCGCAGAAGCTCTAAATCACACTTCGCGTATGCGCAGAAGCGCCAAATCGTGTCGCGCGTGTGCGCAAACGCGGCACTGCAGGTTACGAACGCTGCGAGTTGCGGACATGCCTCCATCACGGATTACGTCCGCAACCCGAGGCTCCACTGTATTTTCATTGGAGAAATGTAGGAGTGTATTTGTAGCAAGTTCTCTTTGCTTTCAGGTGACGCTGCACACCGGTCTCCCAGTCCCGGACTTCTACAACGCACGAGGCTCCATGCAGTAAGGAGTCAGGGGGCGCCCGGCGGCTTTTTCTCAGGACATACCGAGAGACCTGCGTTCGTTTTCTTCAGGAATTGACCTCATGGGAGAAAGGAGGAGAATATCTGGTCGTCTGGTAACTCCAGGCCAGCGGAAACCAAATTTTTTAAACAAACAAACAGACAGACAAAAAGCGGGGTGGAATCTAGAGAAGAGAAAGGACCAAGCAGACTTTGGGCACCCGCCAGGGCCACCCCTCTCCGCCTTTCCAGCCCCACCTGTGCTCTCTCTGTGTGTGTGTGCACGAGTGTGTGTTTGCTTTGCTAATTTTGCTCTTTCGGCTGACGACAGCGTTCCGGAGAGAGCCTGAGATGCGACTCTCTCGAATCAGCTTTTGGATTCAGTTATTCTTTCAGTTTGCGATTTCCCCTTTCCCCTAAATGTGGATCAGATTCCCAAGGGTTGGCTGAACCAACTTCCGGATTCTCCAGCCAGAAGGAAAACTGAGCTTCACTTGCTACGGATGGAGAGTTGTGCATATAACATCAGCCAGACTCCCACCCCAAGCCCCTGGGCGGGCAAGAATTGGCTGGTCCTTGAAGGGTTTGCAGAGAGTCCAGTCGTCTTTTCCCTCCTCTGTCCTCGTGGCCTTTCTTGCTGAATAATACCTTCTCATAGACATCAGCTTGGGATCACCACTTAATCGCCATACAAAAGCCATGTAGAATGATGAATCAAGCCCTGGGAGATGGGATTTATCTTAATTTTTTCCCAGTCAAAGCAGAGAGTTGGGGGAAAGGTCACATGATCCCCCCCCCCAAATGTCAGTGTTTAGCTTTTTGTTTTTCAAAATCAGGCACCCCTTTTTTTGATCCAGAGGATGCGCAAGGCAGTTCACCACAAAGCACAGAACACCGGTATAAACAAATCAACACTGGAAAATAATAATGTTGGTTATGAAGGATGATATTTTAGTAGGGCGTCCTTTGGGGCCTAGCAACTGAGGCCTGGTTCTCCAGCCCAGATGTGATGGGAGCTGCTCCCAGTACCCACATCTGAAATGGTACAGCTCAGATACAGGTCTAACAGCCCTGTGAGGGTGAGGTGTACGATTTAGACGACTCTATGGAGGAGTCCTCAACGCTTCAATCAACATATGAAATTAGCACCATTTTCAAATTTGGAATTCTATTGGCAGAACTTCGTATTTGAGTTCTGAGTAAATTATCACTTTGTAGGAGCAGAACATTTCCATTTTCAGCGAATTTCAAAACTCAAATGCCAACATTCCGATTTCTGAATGCTCCCCCCAAAATGCCACCCAGAATTGCCCCCCTGCCAGCATTCAGCAAATATATCCAATATCCCATTTCTTTTCTGATTGGGATGGATGGTTGTATTTAGCAGAATGTGACAGTCTTCTGGCTAAAGTTATCCAGACATTTGTCCTGTACCTCTGTAAACGGAGGGGGGGGTCACCAATCTGTCTCTGAACGCCTGACGTAGAAGGAGGCACCCACAATTTGCTCTAGTGTGCAACAAGGGCCCTTTGCACGCTGGAGACGGCAGCTCCCATAATGCACTTCTGTTTCTCATTTGTTTACATCGGCCTTTGCTATCCTGATATCCTCTCGCTGTTTCGGACTGAAGCAAAATGTGAGAGGTCACATCCTCCCAGTCCTTTTCCAAGTACAAAACCTCAACAGACCGTTGAATCTTGTTTCAACATCCTCCACTGAACCCCAAGGGCGCAGGACAGGTTGCATAACACGCGCATACACAGAGCTCCCGCCGCTTGACGCCCTTCAATATTTGCCGCCTGAGGCAGCCGCCTCATGTTAGGGCCGGCCCTGTGGGACATCCTTCACGCTGCGGTGATTATCGCAGCTTTGACTGGAAACGGCTTCTTACATGATTGTTTTGTGTGCTAAGTCAGTTTGCAGAGATGCGACTCCTGACTGGTCACGGTGCAGGGAGAGATTTCAGACTGGGAGAGATCCATATTCACAGCAAGGCTCCAAGGCTGGCTCTTAGATATATTCAAGTTTCCCTTGTAAACCCAATTCGTTGTGTTTCATTTTCATGCCGTAATAATGCTACATTATCAGCACCAGTCAAACAGTCATCTTCCTTCCTCTATCTCGCTATATTTCCAAGGCAAAGAGGCTTGTGCCTTTGACATCCTGACCTGGTGCGCAGGCCCATTTAATTGTTTGTGACATCAGTCACTGTGGCTGCAACCCCATGCATGCTAGCATGGGGGTAAGCACACCTTAATGCAATTTCCTTCTGAGTAAGCATGCACAGGGTTGCTCGGGGACAAGTCTGCAGTCCTAAACGTACTTAACTTGAAGTAAATCCTGTTGAGCACAGGTGGGACTTGCATGGCTTCCTTTTGAGCAAGCAAACAGGATTGCATATACGTAAGTGTGCAGACCATTGGGAGTCCAGAGATGCAGGTATTAATTAAGAATAAACTCATGCATGGTCTGAAACATGGCAGAGGCAGGTATCTGCCGCTGGACCTCCCTTGAATAGCACCCCTCTTGCCTTGTGCTTGATGCTGGGCTTTGTAGTCTTGGACTTACTGATTGCTTCCTACAGATATCAGAGGCAAGCACCCATGGGTGGCTTCCATACCACGTAGGTAACTGATGAAACCAGCTCTTTGGCTAGTCTGATGCTGTATTAACAATGTGAGATTCCCTGACCACGTCAACACGGAGCTGTCAATTTTGGATAACCCGCTCTAAATGGGCAGCTGCTTTTTTGCTCAGTGGGGGGCTGCTTGTGGAGTCCTTTTTGATTCTGCAAACAAGCTTGACGTGGCATGTTTCCGTTTTCTCTGACTACATCCCGGTGCATAGCATCCATCTCGCCTCATGTCCATGTGTGTGTCAGGATGCCTAACCCTTTTCCATAGCAGCATTTCAAAATTAGCTACAGTCATGACTTTGCCTTAAAAAAACCAACAACTACGAGGCAGATCTAGCATTCCTATGTGGTCAACGACAGACATGGAGAGAGGAAGAAAGAAGAGAGCAGGAATGCCTTCCTTTCACAATCTCAGGAAATTAAATATTCTCATTGCCATGGCTACCTCTCACGGTTGCCACCTTCCTGGTTTGAAACCAGATCAACCAGCATTACCCCCACCCATCCAAACGCACTTCTTCTGTATCACCATAATATTATTATCTGCTCTTTGCATTGTTTGATTAACTGTGTCGCAGTGTCAACCCAGGCTGGCTCTCTGTCATTCCATTTCTGCCAAACTGGAAGGAACCACGTTGCAATGAAATACTCATCCACCTCTGCTCCCGAAAGACCCACCTAGCAGCTGCCTCTAACTGCAATTTGAGATGGGTGCAGTGCATGTGACCCAGTAAAATGCGAGCGCAGATAAGGCTTCGGCAGTTGCATATTTGCATGCGTTTCCATGTATCAGTTTACACCGGGGGTAGAAGGATTTGCTGAGCATTTGCTGAGCAATGCCTTATAAGGAAACTAGCCTGGATTATGCCTGAGAGCAGGCAATGTGGTCAGGAGGTTGGTAGGAGGCTGGTAGCTGTCAGCAGGTGGCAAGTCAGGACCTGGGACAGCTCCAGAGCATCAGAGATGTTGTTCCAACAAGAGAAGAAGCCCTTGTATTTCAATGCTGCAACCCTGGATTTTGTGGAAGCCCAATCCTTCAATGGGACAGCACTCTGTCTTGGAGTCTGGCAGTTTTGTGGCATTTGTGGTCTCCAGAAGGGGGGGGGGCATAAATGATAGGGATGCTGATATCTGTGGACATACCAAACAATCAACATTCCATTTTGGAGGAGGCAACTTTAGAAAACCTTAACAAACCCTTCCATCGGAATCTGTTCCCATCTTGGGACCGGCTGCTAAAATTGGCGAATGTCATGTACATACCCCATAATGCCTCAAGTCCATCCCATGTGGTTGGTGCCATAATATTCTCTCTGTAGCACGGACAGCATGCTGGTCTGACCTTTCCCTTTGCTTTCGGATTGGTGGCGCTCTCTAGAGATACTTGTCTGCGGAGGGTTGAGATATTGTTTTCTTTCTTCTACCATTGTTTCTCATCGTAAGTTATTTAAATTACGTATCTGCTTTGATTCATTTAACCAGGAGTGGAGATAAATCAGGAATGGTGGGAAGAAAACAATCCAATGTAATAAATGTTAACAGCAAAAAAACACACACACAAAAACCCAAAGCAAAACAACAAAGGAGATGTCTGTAAATAAATAATTGTTCCCTTCTAGGATTTCCTTCCCCTTAGAACTGATTTTTCTCTGTTATGGTGATGTTGTACCAGCATTACGTTAAACATAATTTATTGAATGGGTGCTAACCTCGCAGTCACGCTCTTCGTTTTTTCTGGGCTGCAGAGGAGACAGGTTGCAGGGTGACGCCGATCTCCTCCTGGGCTTGGGTGGCTGGGCCACCTGCGGCCTTCTTTTCCCATCAGCATCGATCTTGCTTCTTGATGATGTTCCTGATGCATAGAATAGATTCCTAGTGACTTCGTAACATGTCGTTGGCAACTTATTGCAATCCTTAGCTGCAGACAGCCGCCCTCCCAGGCCCAAAGGGGGTCCTGTGTGTTGTTCTAATAAAAGATTTTAGTCAGAGAATTGCCAGTGTTTCTGACTGTTTCTTTTGGGGGGGGAGGGTGCCTGGATCTGGAAGAGGAAGTCGGGGGGAGGGAGTGTAAGAGGACACCTACCGAAATACAACCCGAAGCCCAGGAGTGTCTACAATACAACATCTGCCCAATAATAATAATAAGTTAATGTGCTGGTCCCATGGGTTACCCAAGAGCCGAGGTCCAAGTCCAGTCCGTGGTCTAATAATAATAATAATAATAATAATAATAATAATAATAATTTATACCCCGCCCTCCCTAGCCAAGACGGGCTCAGGGTGGCTAACAACCAATAATAAAAACAAGTTGATTAAAATACAATTTAAAAGATTAAGATACAACATTAAAACAATTAGGGAGCAATCTCATCCCTAAAGGTGCAATGTGGAGGCAGTCCGTAGTAGCTGAATCTGGGTGCAGGGCAGGGAGTCGGGTGAAGTCAGAAGCAGGCATGCAAGCAGGGAGTTGGGTGGGGTCAGGAACTCTGGCAGAAGAGCAGGACAGGGTTCAGGTAGGAACTAGCAACCAATAATGTTGATCCCGCAACCTGGGACTGGGGCTGGCTGGCTTTTATCTGCCCCGAGGCATAGGGCGGCCCCGATCCTCAGGTGACTCGCCTCTCCTGGCCTGGAGGCGAGCACTCCTACTGCGGGAACTCAGTTCCCTCCACCTCTCTGCCCTGAGCCTCTGCAGCTCAGGAGAGGCTGGAGGGTCACCGGACCCAGAGGCAACCTCACCTTCCCCTGACGGGGCTGAGAGTGGAGCACCTGCAGGCAATTGGTCCTCCATCACCTCAGGGGCCAGAGCAGACTCAGCTGGTTCTTGTTGCTACAGCTGATAGGCAGTCTCTCTATTGGTTATGCAATGTGTTCTCCTGCTCTTAAATCATAGCAAGGATAATAACAGCATGGGTTAAATTGGCCGGATGCCACAGAGGACAAATGCCTCCAGCACTTTTAACAGTTGTGTAGAAGAGGGAATTGCAGCACATGTACATTTCATGGCAGCTATTAAAAGCGCAGGAAGTCTGTCTGTTTCCCCCTTCTAATCTCCACCCCAATCATTCTGCCAGGACACTGAGATCCAGGCCCTTCTGGCGGTTCCCTCACTGCAAGAAGCCAAGTTACAAGGAACTAGGCAGAGGGCCTTCTCGGTGGTGGCGCCCACCCTGTGGAACGCCCTCCCATCAGATGTCAAAGAGAACAACAACTACCAGACTTTGAGAAGACATCTGAAGGCAGCCCTGCTTAGGGAAGCTTTTCATGTTTAAAAGACGACTGTATTTTAATACTTTGTTGGAAGCCGCCCAGAGTGGCTGGGAAAACCCAGCCAGATGGGCGGGGTATAAATAAATTATTATTATTATTATTATTATTATTATTATTATTATTATTATTATGCTACAGAAACAAATCCATCAAATGAATCCAAGGCACAGCTGTTGAGTTGACCGCCCTCTTCCTCAGCGCCTCTAGAAATATGGTCTTTCTGTGCAGTCTCGCAAGCCCCAATACGGCAACTGATCAAAATCCATATTTTTGAAATGCTGGTGCTGCCATTTTGATTTTGCAGCATTCCCCCCCCCCCCCCCGAGGGGAAAACGGGCTACGGTATCATTTATTTATTTTTAATCACCGCCTGCTTTCATTTTAAAAACTAGCCAGAGTTCAGAAGAGACCATTGTCCCCCAGCAGATGGAGCCAGAGTCACATTCTGTTCCCAGACTTCGCCAACCTAATGCCATGTTCAGAGGTGTTGAAACACTGAACAACTTGAACAACTTTGGCTCTGTAAAAAAAAAGCTCAACAACTCTAGCTCCCCCCCCCAAGTCAAACCCATTTTTGCAGGCAAAATAAATAAATAAAATAAATAAAAATTCAATGGGTTTGACAAGAAATTTTCTGCACCGGGTACCACCTGACCTTGCTACGCCACTGGCCATGTTCCACATATTCCGTGGTATGAATGGCACCGTTTTCGCACCAAAACTTCTCCTGAATCTTCCAAAAATCGGCTTCATGGGATAGACAGGAATTTTAGCATGATGACGGAAAAAACCTCACACCCCACTGTCTCCACATCATGTTCCTCCCCCCCACCTCCTTTGCTCACTTCTTCTCTAACAGAAAAGTCCCAGATGTTGTAACCTTTCCTCTTGGCTTGCATGGCCGTATCTTAACTCTTCCTAAGAAAGAGGGGGAACCTCCCGCCCGGAAACCAATGTCCCCACTGTGGAGGGACGTGTGGATCCAGAATTGGCCTCCACAGTCACTTATGGACTCATTGCTAAAACCGTGTTGATGGAAGGCAATCTTACTCGGCTACAAGGGATCGCCAAAGAAGAAGACTCTCTAGCCCCACTGAGGATTGAGCCTCATCCCGGTTTGGGGACTCCAGATGTTGGAGGGTTTGGCTAAGTTGTTCAGCGGGGGGGGGTGTGCCTATGGATTGGCAAGATTGGCCCCTGCCAAGAGGGCAGGCCCAGGGGGCACAAATCTCTGTGCCTCCTCACTCTGGCTTGGAGTGGCTAGGAGCCAACCCAACTGCCCACTCCCCAAGCTGCTCTTCCCCTGCTCTGGGTGATTCCTATGGGTGCCCCAGCGGAGGAATCTGCTTCCTAGCATGGGCCACGGCAGCAGGGTCCCCTCCCCAGTTGCCCAGTGGTGTACTTAGAAGTGCAGCTCCCATTCAGCTCCTTGCCAAGGGGGCAATGGAGAGAGCCTAGGTACGTCTCTGTTGTTGAAATACCGTATATACTTGAGTATTTGTTGTTTAGTCGGTTAGGCATGTCCAACTCTTCGTGACCCCATGGACCAGAGCACGCCAGGCACTCCTGTCTTCCACTGCCTCCCGCAGTTTGGTCAAACTCATGCTGGTAGCTTCAAGAACACTGTCCCACCCTCTCGTCCTCTGTCGTCCCCTTCTCCTTGTGCCCTCCATCTTTCCCAACATCAGGGTCTTTTCCAGGAAGTCTTCTCTTCTCATGAGGTGGCCAAAGTACTGGAGCCTCAGCTTCACGATCTGTCCTTCCAGTGAGCACTCAGGGCTGATTTCCTTCAGAGTGGATAGGTTGGATCTTCTTGCAGTCCATGGGACTCTCAAGAGTCTCCTCCAGCACCATAATTCAAAAGCATCAATTCTTCGGCGATCAGCCTTCTTGATGGTCCAGCTCTCACTTCCATACATCACGACTGGGAAAACCATAGCTTTTACTATACGGACCTTTGTTGGCAAGGTGATGTCTCTGCTTTTTAAGATGCTGTCTAGGTTTGTCATTGCTTTTCTCCCAAGAAGCAGGCGTCTTTTAATTTCGTGGCTGCTGTCACCATCTGCAGTGATCATGGAGCCCAAGAAAGTAAAATCTCTCACTGCCTCCATTTCTTCCCCTTCTATTTGCCAGGAGGTGATGGGACCAGTGGCCATGATTTTCATGTGTTTTTTATGTTGAGCTTCAGACCATATTTTGCGCTCTCCTCTTTCACCCTCATTAAAAGGTTCTTTAATTCCTCCTCATTTTCTTATACTTATACTTGAGTATAAGCCGACCCAAATATAAGCCGAGGCACCTAATTTTAGCACAAAAAACTGGGGGAAACTTATTGACTCGAGTATAAGCCAGTTCACCACACCACAAACCTGGTGGTGGCGGCAGCGGTGGTGGAAGAACAAGCACCCCAAAAGGGCTGCTTTCGGGCTGCTCGTTCCTCCTCCTCTGCCACCGACAGAGGCAAAGGCGGAGGAGGAGGAAGGAGCAGCCAAAAAGGACCCTCACTCGAGTATAAGTCGAGGGGAGCTTTTTCAGCATAAAAAATGTGCTGAAAAAGTCGGCTTATACTCGAGTATATACAGTACATAAAAATAATAATAAGAAGAAGAAAATTGTTCAGTAGCACCTTAAAGGTAAAGGGACCCCTGACCATTAGGTCCCATTGTGGCCAACTCTGGGGTTGCAGCGCTCATCTCGCTTTACTGGCCAAAGGAGCCGGCGTACAGCTTCCGGGTCATGTGGCCAGCATGACTATGGCAAACCAGAGCAGCGCACAGAAACGCCATTTACCTTCCCGCCAGAGCGGTACCTATTTATCTACTTGCACTTTGATGTGCTTTCGAACTGCTAGGTTGGCAGGAGCAGGGACCGAGCAACAGGAGTTCACCCCGTCGCGGGGATTCGAACCGCCGACCTTCTGATCGGCAAGTCCTAGGCTCTGTGGTTTAGACCACAGCGCCACCCACGTCCCTAAGTAGCACCTTAGAGACCAACTAAGTTTGTTTTTGGCATGAGCTTTCGTGTGCTGTTGCTGAGGCTTTGCAAATTAAGCCGGTGTGGTTTGTGGCGAAGAGTGTTGGTCTAGGACCTGAGAGACCAGGGTTCAAATCTCTACTCAACAATAAAGCTCACTGGGCGACCTTGGGCCAGCTGCTCACCTCAGCCCAACCTCACAGGGTTCTTGTGAGGATAAAATGGGGAGCGGAAGAACTAAGTAGGTTGCTTTGAGCTCCTTGGAGGAAAGATATACCTTTTGAAACAAACAAACCACACAGTGCATTCCCAGTTCAATCTCCAGGCAGGGAGGGGAATGCCTCTCTCTGTGAAATCCTGGGGGGCTGCTGCCAGTCAGTGCAGGCATTATGGAACTAGAAGGACCACTGGGTCTGGCTCAGTAGAAGGCAGCATCTTGTGTTCCTCTCCGACTTCCTTCCTGCAGGAAACTCCGGCTTCAACATCCGATTTCCCCCCAGCAACCCTAATGCAGGAAGCTGCACAGAGCGATGGCTTCAGGATGGATTGATGTCAGGTCTATATTCAGTCGCAGCCAGGCGGGGTGGCCCTCCTCCTGCAGCTCCTTTGCCCTCCTCTGAGGTGCAGCAGGCACCCCCTGCTGTGCGCAGTCCACCCTGCTCAGCATCTTTGCATCCTTCCCAGACCCAACATCAGGGAAAGCTCATTTCTCCTGTCGCCTCTAATATCACGGGCCTCAGCCAACCCT